CATTATTCCTTTTAATCATCTCAAATTATTTCGTTGCAAACACAACCAGTAACGAGTACCTATATAGACACCGTGTTATAACGTGAAATGTAATCTTGTAATTAAATAGTTACGTGTCATTACGTGTATTATCAGAGGACTTTACCGACTTAATTGAAGTGACAAGCAAGTTTTTCTAAAACTATAGCATAATACCATAGATTAATGATAAGTCATCATGGTCAGAGCGCGCGATGACTTATCATTAATCTATGGCATCATACAAATTCCACACATTATGCGTAGGTATCTTCAAAAAGGTTTGGTGGACTCCTATTGCAAAAAAATTAAGTTTTAATGAAAAATTTATGTACCTATTTAAGTTATCATAGGAATAGTTTTTTATCATAAAATATAAAAAACTATATCTGTGACAACTTTCTATGATTGGTACCTTAACAAATCGATTAAATAAGAAAAAAGAAGAAGAAGAAGTAGTACCTATAGAAATTAAGCTAATATGCTTAATTGCTGACTACTACTTTTATTGCTCTTAACTACTAGGTATAACTATACTAAGCATTTTTTTCGAAGCGTTTCTCTCTCCCTCTCTCTCTCTGTCTGTCTCATCTATAAACCTGTCCCATAGAAGAGAGGATTTGTAGGCTTTTAGTCTTTAATTTATTCTAATATTTAAGTCATACGTCTATTTATTTATTCATTCAAAACATAAACATAAGTAAATCTTTAAAACTGTAAACCTTTACCTTTTTTACCTTAAAGCTACTTTATTAATATCCTTAAGCTAGCCCAGATGCCATTCCCTGCCAGTCAACCCTGGATGTTAAAGATTTATTGATATATTATGAATAGATATTTTTGAAAGTAGGTTATACTCAAAGCTCGATATAGGTAATTTCGAAATGTATGAAATAATTACATCAAATTAACAGGACAATAAAATGAAGAAAGAACAGTAAACTACTGAGGTCAAGAGTCAGGAGTTGATGAGATCGTTTCTAATTTTATTTTATATTGTTACGACAGCCAGTTGCGTGCGATGCAACATCACATTGCACGAGAACGTTCCCGAAGATCTACGACATTAATTTGTCAAGTAATAAAATAATAGACGACGCGCGTGTAGGCGTAATAATAGACGACGCGCAAATTAATAATTGATGCAAGCAAAGTGCAACGTTATTATGTCTACGTACATAACAAGTGTTCGAGTACCTTCCCATAGAAAAAGTAGAATGTCCCGGGTTGACCTTTATTGGGTATAAAAAATGTAAAAGCGTGCGTCAGCTTACACTAAATACTTCGCAAAGAGACTACGACCAATCGATCTACGACATTTGCGATTGTTAAAGACCTCACCGAAGAAGCTTAGCGATTTTGGATGACGTAATTGTATACTTGCTTTGTGTATGATATGGAAGGATACATCTTTCTCGCATCCGTATCGGCATTTTTACTCACTCAGCACGTAACAACATACTAGCTACGGCTAACTCTAAAAAAAGAAACCCACTGATATTCCGACTATGATAAAATGCCTCATGCCAGTTTGTAATTATACGGACTTTTCCTACCTTTAAGATCGGAACGCCATTGCTACACGGTAGAAATAGAAATAAGTACTACTACAGATGACCCCTTGATGGAATAGGATGTAATAAATCACGTATATTTGTAGATTTTCTGATCATTTTTTTTGCCGTCATGCAAATGAATAATGTTCTCTAAAAAGGAATGAGTTTTCATAAACTCATTTACTTTTAGACATATATTTTTACACAACTAATTCCACTTAGAAAAAAGTGATATGTAGCATAATTTGAAGTGCTTTAGTGAATACCCTATTATCTCACGTTGAATTGCCAGGCAACGAGAATGTAAATAGTTTGGCGAAAGAAGTTATAACAGATGATATCATACCTTCTAAAATTCACTCCGTCTTTCATTGTTATTAGGTATAAGCAGTATTGGTACGTAATTAGAAAGGAATGTTATATTGGATATACTTGCTTACAATATTTAAAAGTAAAGGAATTTGGTATACGGTACAATCCCCTCACAGTGTATTTTATACGTGGAAGAGTCATGCTGCAGCTGTATTATGATTGTAGCATGAATGGGTCAGCGCAACCGGGGAAAGACCACGCTTTCACAGAATACCAGCGTAAAATAGCAGCTTAACACTGCTGTATTTCGTATGGTGGGTGTAGAGATCCGGTGACCCTTTTTACTGAAAACGGGGCATTCTATCTTAGTCCCCAGAGGTGACAACGCATCTACATTTTGATTCGTAATCAAGGATACATGTAGATGTCTATGGGCTGCAAAAACCACTTACCTTCGGATGGACTCTGTGCTCGTTTGTCACTCTTAACCTATAAAAAAAATTGGTAACGTGTTTAAGGATTTATGAGACTCTAAACTTAAGGGGGAAAATAGAAGGTTCAATAGGCGTCCTTATCGCTCTGGAAGCAATTTCTTCCAGACAACTCTATTACACAATGAATCATTCACAACAGATGACTAGGAGAGAAGTGTATACACTATACAAAAATTATACAGTTAAGTTAAAAACATAAAACTGAAATAAAAGACATACTATGATGACAGTTGAGGAAAGTAGGATAGATACTTGAAAGAACGGTAAGAATGATGGGAAATATTACAGTTTGGATTAATAAGTTTTGTATAGATTTTAAAAGAAAAAAAGGATAGAGTGGGGCCGTTCCTCGAATCATTCCACCAACCTACTTTTATAATTATTCCTCTAACCGTATAATGACGGTGTAAGAACATCCACTTCCTTATATCGTCCCGCGAATGAAGTGTGGATGTCATAAGAAGTGACAGAGGGAAGCGAACCAGGAGATTGGCAGGAACGGCTGTAAAGTATTAGGTAACTAAAAATATTAAAAATCCGAGGTTGCCAACCAGCATGCCTAGCGCGGCAACTATAGCGAATACGCTTTAAAACAATCTATGGAGGAGACCTATGTTCATTGGTAGGCTGTAACGGTAACGGTAACCTGCCATCGTTGGTTGCTTTGTCGGTTGATCGCATTTAAAACCAGGCAAGGCCATGATTGGCCAGATTAGTACTTCTGTACATTTTGTGTTACTACGGCTGTAATACCTATCTTACACTTTTGACAGCTTTGAGTAGAATTGCCATAAAACATCACCGCCGTGATTCGGCAAGCATAGGTTCATAAAACAATCTTAATTATAACAATTTGAATATAATTAGTAAAACAATAATGTCGTAGACAGACAAAACATGACAAAATCATAGGACCGAAAAGAAAAACTAATGGCGTGGCGCACGTTACGTAAAGCGTAACAGCTGTAGCATTTAAATAAATAAAAATTATGTTATACTTTATCGGCAAGGATTGCTCTTGTCAAGTTCAAGCCTGCGTATCGCTGACAAGGTTGCGGCTGTCGAGTACACCGTTGTATGGGCACCGTGGTTCCGCCCGACCGCATCACGAACGTGGAACGCCACCCCAACCCTAGATGATCTCATCCGCCCACCGTAGCACACCGCACGGGCCTGCTGCGCGCTATTCGTTCTCTCTACATTCAGCCACAACCGGCGATAGAAGTGACGACAAACTTGTTTTTTTTTTTTGCCCGGTTACTTCAAACTTATTCGATCGGTGTATTTATTAGGTCAGTTTAACTTTGTGGATGTAATATACAAAGGTATAAGTAGTGTTATATAGAATTAATTTTTTGACTGGTAAAATATTTTATAACAAAATAATGTTCTTACGCAAATTATATAATTTAATTAGGAAGGTTCTTTTATAAAAATTATTAGAATTTTTTACTTATCTCATTGCAATTGAATATTATTGGCTGTTATTAAATCACAATTCCGTTTTCTTAGAATATAATAATTATTTGTTTATTTGTTGAGATATTCGACAAAAACGTTTCATCAGAAAATATAAGGAAAAGCGGGCGAGAATTCTCCATCAGTTTTCGATTTGTCAGCTATTTTAACTGGCGCGTTAGTATTGAGCAGTAATAAGTATTACGAGTAAAACAAAAAATTTGGTAACTAGAGCTCTCGTCGTTGATTTCGGTGGTAATAAAAACTTAATTAAAATATTTGAAATAAACGTCACGATTAGTCGTATATCTTTTCGAACATCTTTTCATCTTAATTTAAGAAAAAATATGGAGAACTGTGTAATTGAACCCGAATCAATCCATAATAAAGCTGCAAAGAAAAAATATTGTGTCAAATCAAACGAAATCACCTCAGAAATTTCTACGTAGTAGAGCCATGGTGCAGCTATATTAGTTGTATAGTAGTAGCACGAATGGGTCGGCTCGACCGGGGAAGGACCACGCTCTCACAGAATACCAGCGTAAAATAACAGCTTAATGCTGCTGTGTTTCGTATGGTGAGTGTCGAGAACCGGAGACCCTTTTTACTGGAAACGAGGCATTATATCTTAGTCCTCACGGGTGACAACGCATCTGCATCTTGATTCGCAATTGAGGATAGATGTAGATGTCTATGGGCCACAGCAACCACTTAGGTAGACTGTGTGCTCGCTTGTCACCTTTATTCTATAAAAAAAATAGAAATCCAACAATCAAATGAGGGTTTTCAAATGTCTATCCCACACCTGACAAGGTGGCAAGGTAGCACAGAGCGAATGCCTGCTGCTATGCAGTGATGATTTTTAAATGTATTATGTATGTTATTATTATTACTTATCACATTTATTTATTACAGTCTATCAAAGTCCACTGTTGAACAAAACCTCCCCCATAATTCAAGAGGTAATCTCAACCGACTTGGCAATTGCAGGTGTTTTTTTTTTATTATTTTGAGTTGTCAGTAGGTAATGCTCATCTCCTGTTTCATATCCCGCTGTCGCCTTTTAAGACACCCATGGGATAATATGGGGTAGTGGATTGTCAATTATGCCGCCACAACATGGCGGCCAAAAATATGTATATCAATGTGTAAATGTTTCAGAATGAGTTCAGCGTCGCGAGCAATTATATTCGTTATATTAATGAATTTTTTGCCAGAAATTTCCGTTCACACATTGAAGAGCGACGTTTATTACGGACCCTATATCGGAAACAAGGAAACACCAGAAATATTTCGTTACGTAACCGATGAACAGGTAATATTAAATTCAATCTTCAGTTTCCAATGAAACATAACTTCGTCGTTTGATGACGGGGTATAATAATTCATCACCCCTCTTTTACCATAGACGTCGTAAGCGTAGATTATTTGGAAAATGTCAAGAAGATCTCATGGTTTACGATAGTTGGCAGTTTCTTGCTTGCTAGCTTTCTGATTTCAGTGTATTTTATCGTCGTGGATATAATATGTTATCACTTATCATTGTGCCATAAAAATTGCAATCTGTTGCAATACTGACCCTTATTTAAACACATACGCGTTGTATTGATCATGTAAAAATGAATGATGATTACCCACGTATTTGTGCTTCTATTTTACCAATATCATTAGCCTGCATAGACCAATGCCCTTTGCATTAGCTCTATCGTAATCATAATGTTTTTAATCACAGTTGGAAGATATTAGACACTAAACAGCAATACAGCAGCAGTACACATTCACTGTTCAGTTACAATTTGAACGGTATGGAGAACTAGTATTACATGCTGAAATAAGTGAAAATAATATTATAGAAGTTTAATTTATTGAAGATTACATTTACTGATAATAATAATTTTATCTTTAAGATAGATTTCCATCAAGTGTGCTTAGTGTCCGGAACAAAAATGCTTAGTTAAAAAACACTTCAATAAGATAATAAACGGTCAAAATAAAATACTTTAAATTTTAGGCCGACTTCGAAAAAAGGTTCTCAATTTGTCGGAATATTTTATATATATTTTTAACAATAATTCTTTACCACGTTCTCCGATTTCAATTTAATTATCTTTTTTTGTTAGTACCTGGCGGATGGTCTCTATAAACAGTTGTGTTTCACCAGTAACGCAAAGTTAGGAATTTGCATTTAGGAAAAGTCAAAATGAGATGCTTATGAAGTGTACATCCCGCAGCGCCGAAGCTGTTGCAGAAGTAACTTTGGGTCAATATTCATGTGTAAAAAAGTGAGGTTATGATTTTACAAAAAAAAATATTACTCATAAACTATACATTTCCGCAAGGGGGGAAGGGTAGGGGGCATCCCCAGAACCCTCCCCCTCCCCCACCCCCCTACGCAAGTATCGAATGTCTAGTTTTCAGAAGATTTTCAGAAGACCTGATTTTTGCATCTGCTTTGTTCTGAATAACGACTTTATTTTTATTAGGGGCGCCTTGTCATTGCCTATACATACTTGCAACAATTATTTAGCAATTAATTCCTTGTTATTAATATTTATCGTATATCTATTATCGTCACTGCGTTGCTAGCGAGACGTTTTGCTAGCAACGCAAATTTCAACAGTTCGTTGCGGTGAAATATTTAGAGCACCTTATTTTTAAACTTGGCACCTAATTAGCAGCTAAAAAGCCCCTAATTTTGGATTTTCCTAAATGCGAATTCCTGACTTTGCGTTACTGGCGAGACACAGCTTCTATAAACTTGGTCAAAATCATCAAACACTTCAATTTGCAAAGATCTCTCTGTTTGATTTTAATTAGATTTTGATTTCGATTATATTTTTTTTTAGTTCTATAAAGTCAGTTGTTACTTTTTTTTAATTTAATTATTACCATATAACCGTAATATATAAATATATCTAAAACAACGTATGCGTGAAAATGAAAAGCGCGCTTATTGAAAAGGGGAAAAATTATCACTGTAATGACATAATAATAACAATCATCTAATATCTGTGTGTGTGATAAGAATATTATCTGAAGTGATCGAAATGTTACAAAATATTAAACCAAAAAAGGACGGCAAGGTTTTAATTATGTACTCGCATTTCTCCCACGCATTTATCCAGTCTTAAATGTATAGTATAAATTTACCTTTTAATTTTTTTATACAATTTAACTCGAATACATTTTTATATTAAATTGGAATGACTATCGAGCTATCCACCTTACCTGCAACCGACTTTAAACAGAAGGCTACTGGTATGTAATTGTCACTCCAGTGACAAGCTCACGAGATGAAATCTTTCTAACCAAAACGTATAAACGCGTGGATGATTAACAGATGAAATAAGTAACCCATTAAAATTGTATTGAAATAAGCAGACCAGAAACCATCTGAGCCGTGGTAGCTCAGATGGTTAGCACTCGCTGTAAATTTCACAGTACGCGAGAAACCCGGGTTCGATCCCCGCCGGCACCAATGAAATTTTTAATTGCAATTTTAAGTGCTGATTTACCACGTGCTCGGCGGTGAAGGAAAACATCGTGAGGAAACCTGCATGTCAAATAAGAAAAAAAAATTTCGAAGACATGTGAAGTTCGCCAACACGCATTGGGGCAGCGGGGCGGACCTTTCCTTGCCCTAAAACCCTCTTAGAAATGAGAGGAGGCCTGTGCCCAGCAGTGGGACGTGTATCTAGGCTGTAACTTTTTTTTACTTTAAGCATGGTCTGCTTACCTAATTTATAAACAAAAATTTAGAGTATAATCAGGTACATTTATTATCAATATAGGGATTAGGGAAATAAGTATTATTATTAATGAAGAAGTTACTTTTTCAGTACGTCCGTCGCATACATTCGATGGTAAATGCATACAGCAACAGAGGAGACTTACGCGGGAGATTAGTTATTGAAACCAACGCTCTTATAGACACTAAATACCGCACATGGAAACGGAATGCTGATCTTATCAACTCTCTCCTTGCTTTGCCGAAGGGCATGAATGATGCCGGGCGCTAAGCTGTCTTATTATTTATTACAAAAACTTGTTATTTGTTAATTTATATTAATAAACTATAGCACTATTAAAGTTCATTTATTTCTTGTGAATATATATAGCTGTGCCTCGCGATTTCACCCGCGTACCTACATAATATATCACTCTACGTACTTAATCCTCGCTTAAAATTAAAGTTACTATAATAGGTTCAAAAGTTTCTGGCCTGAACTATAAAATGAACGATAAATCTTAAACCACTATAATTACTTTTAGATATTATAATCTCCCTTTATTTCAATACTCTTTTCACAGCGCTTAACTAACTTTTCTATACCCTAAAAAATAATTAAAAGTAATTTGGGTTTCAATATTAAGAATAAATAATATAATAGGGCTAAACGAAACGTTTATGACGTTGTATGTTTACTTTGTCCCAGGTAAACATACTCGTTGTTGACGACAATGTTTACCTTGTCCGACTATGTAAGTCCAACTTCGACCAAGAGGTCAATCGACGGATTCAACTCGGTTGGGCAGCGTTCGGGAGATTACGACACATCTTCTCGTCAGGCATACCTCAAAACTAGATTATACAACCAGCCAGTGCGTGTTGCCAGTGATGACTTACGGATCTGAGACGCGGTCCTTCACTGCTGGCCGTATGAGGACGCTCAAGGTCGCTCAACAAGCTACAGAGAGGGCTATTTGTGATAAACTTAGAAATGAGGATATCCGCAGTAGAACCAAAGTGACCGACATAGCTCAAGGGATTAGTAAGCTGAAATGGCAATGGGCCGGCCATATAGCTCGAAGAACTGACAACCGATGGGGAAAAAAGGTTCTCGAGTGGCTGTCTCATACCGGTAGGCGAAATGTAGGGCGACCCCCCATTAGATGGAGTGACGACCTGGTAAGACATGCAGGAAGTCGAAGGATGCAGGTGGCTCAGGACTGTGCTTTGTAGTATTAATTGGGGAGGTCTATATTCAGCAATGGATGTGTGAAGGGTTCTAATGATGATGATGATGAAGTCGGGGCTATATGATTGATCGTTGAGCTAAATGCATTCCTTAATGACAGCCTTGGAAACTTCTGATATGTGGGCCGGAGCATTCTCATGAAGCATCAACCCTCCTCGTGACAATTTCTCATCATCTCTCTCTCAGCATCTCGCAATTGATGTAGAAAGGAAACATAGTAATCGCCTGTTACTGTTGTGTTGCGTTCTTTAAAATCCACCAGTAAAACTCTTTCGGACTCCAGAAAGATTGCAGTAATATTTTTTTTTGGAGATTGAGTCACTTTTGCTGTTTTTGGCTGCGTTGAGCTCGGACGAAACCACTCTATCGATTCCTTTTTTGACAGAGAATCATGATAAAGAGCCATAGTTTTATCAGCCCGTAACAATTGAATCCTAAAGTTCTTTCTGTCGGCCTCCACAAAGGGATAAAAATGGAGTACAACACTTCACTCGTTCTTGTTTTTCAATAGCAGAAAGAAGTTTTGGGACCCACCCAGCACTGACCTTATTCATACCCAAGTATTCTAGTAGGATTCTAAACACTGTTGTATTTGAAAGTCCCGTCATAATTGCTAATTCGTTTCTGTCTTCTCCACAAACTAAGTGTTTTCATCCGTAATAGCCTCAGATGATCGTCCTGTGCGCGGTTTATCATCAATTTATTTTTCCCCAAATGAAATTGATTCGCCCGTTCTTTTAACGTGGAGTACGAAGGGGAAGAATGCGCGTACACAGCATCCAGGCGTTATTTAATTTCCGCCGGTGTCTTCCCCTCTTTTGTAAGAAAATTATCACAGCTTGATACTCGATTTTATGCATTTCGAAATATTTAATCGACAGACGGACTTTATTTAGCTATATCACTGTAACTAAATTAAAAAAATTTTTTTTCGTGGGTAGATAACGAAAAGTCCAATAATGACACGAAGGTTTTGTATCTTTGATTGAAATAAGTCGGTAGGCCAGAAACTTTTGGATCTTACCTAATACATCCTCTCTATTCTGAAAGGGATTTAGGGCAAGGATGTGTCCTGGAAGTGTTTCTGTATAGTATTGTTTTAATAAGTTTCATGTAAATAAATATATTTTCTTTCAGATAAAATCTCTGTGGATTTTTTTATAATATTAAAAATGTGGGATGGATCTTTTATTTTTAAGTAGAGACAGTAAAACGCTTATAAGAATACTAAGGGCATTTAATTAAAAGTAATAAAAAAACAGTTACATTAAAAAATAAGTTTTATTTTTGATCAGACACGATAGTATCTGTTTCAATTTAAAAATCGACTTCACCCGAAAATCCATCTATGTCATCTTATAGATCATCATCTGCTGTTAGCTTCTGGTAAAAGCATTTTTCATCTTGTGGAATAAGATAAAGCAGACTTTTCAGGTCCTTTAATTTAGGACCTGGTATTGCTTTGCCACATAGGTTTTAGTAACAATTTAGTAATATTTCTTTGTCTGCCACGAGCGATTTTTTTAATATTTACTTCTTTAAATTCTTCTTCATAGCTTGACCTCATATATTATATGGTAAACATCTCATTTTTCTTTAAAACAATCTCTTTTCGTTTTTAACCATGAAACATTCTTTCCGTCAACTGTTTTTTTTTATTCGTGATAATACTTTCCAGCTCAGAAGATGTTACAGAATCTGTTTTATTCATTCGATACACTTGAAATGGCTTGTTCTTTTTACAGTGTTTCATTATATGTATGTAATCTTCAGGTAAGTAGATTCTTTAGTGCAGCTTTAAAGCGCATTCTATTTTCGCAAAATCGTTATCATTTGAAAGGAAACTATGTCCTCACTCCAAAAATAGGAAACTTATTTCTTCCAAAGATGGATGATCATTCAATAGAGCCTTTAAAATAAGTACTAATTTAATATTTCGATTCTGTCCTCCACACGAATCACTCCATAATATTAATTTCTTTACATTTAGCTTTAGGTTTTTAAATGTATGCTTAAGAAAGCAAGAACCCAACCGTAACAATAGGTTTGGTCGTTAGTTCATGTGCGTACTCCCAAGTTGTACATCCATAACTGGCGTTTATAAAAAACTACATTAGTGGGTATACGTGGCAATGGGAGTTTTATGTAAATCAAATGTGATTGTTTCTATAAGTGGGTCGCTTTTAGTTAGATGTAAGTCACTCTCCATAAGATTTTGTAAAGATGTCTATCATGATCTAATGCAATTCGATGTTTGTCTTCTTTGGACACTTCTTTAATTTTGTTATGGAATTCATCACACCTGTTGCATGTATCTTTCTTTAGCTTCTTGGTTCTTAAATTAAACTTTGAAAAAAACTTTCTTGGCTAAAGCTAATGATAAATCATACTAGACATAATGTATTCCGGTCGCCTGTGCTTCTTCACAATACAGTTTGTATACTTTCGGAAATGTAATATCCGGTTTCAGGAATTTTGCATCACCGTACTCTTTTCGACGATAATGTGATACGTATGTAGCTAGTTTCTTTATTATCTTAATCAAAAAGAATTCTACATCAGGAGATATTTATTATGGCATCCTTGATTTCCGCGTCTGTCTACTAAATCATTTTACACAGTGACGTATTCACACGGTTAGGAGTTGTCTGGAGAGTTTTTATAAACATGTCTCTACAGACTAAAAAATACAGTCGTGAATAATTTTTCATTTTTGATATGTTTGAAGTATTTGTTGAGACATAAGAACGTTTCACTGGTTGCTCTGTTACATACTTTGGGCATTATAGGAACCTAATTCATAAAATTTCCGAAACTCTATCAATTTTTTTTCAACTGGAACCAATTCCTTACATTTTCGTATACAATTACAGTCATAATCTAGAATTTTAAGGTTCAATAACCATATTCTTATTACTAGCTTCTGCCCGCGACTTCGTACGTGGATTCTGTTGCTTATGCTAGCGACAACGGGGTCGTCAAAATCGAAGATCTGAAACGTCTGATGTTGAATTCTAAGAGCCCGGGGACGGGAAAACAACGTGATTCGCGAGACGATTCGAGACGTTCTAGATCTTTCATTTTTGTAAGTCAACAGGAAATGCCCATCAGACTAAACAACTTTTGCTAAGACGTCATTCCTATATATGTTATAGTGTCGCTGGGCTTTGGATGGAGTGTAACTCCTTGTGTGTTATTAAGTTAATATATTGGTAATATTGTTTAGATCACGTTCACATGAGGCTTAAGTACTTATAGAACAAAAATATTTCAGCGCAAAGCTTCCGGGTAAACTATGTTGAAAGTTGACCCGTCCGGCACGTGAACATAAAGATTTCTAGAACTGCTAACCCGGGAAAGAGCGACGTACAACTGACCATGCGAGAAACAACTGATACTGAAATCTACTCCAGCAACACGAAAAGTCTACCCTTGAGTTCTTTTAAATTGGAATGGAAAATTATTTGGTATTATGGGAATTCTGGGAATAAAGACGGTTTCTCCTGCACCGCAACCTGTTAAAATTTGAACCTCGATTATATTTTATTGCAACTGGGTTACTTTTAGCCGAGTTCCATTGCAAAGTTGTGGTGGTCTTAAATTTCGGAGCAGAATAATCGGAATGCCAATTTTTAAACAAATTTCATGAGAAGGGAGTCCGGGCATATTTAAAGAATTTAAAAATTTTATCGGGTAATTAGTGGCTTCTTGTTCATCGACCATTCTATTTATTGAACTATAAACTTTGCTTTCCCACTCTATATTCGACAGTATTTTGTTATTAATCTCAGATGCCTGGTCATTGCGAGGAGTTAAATAGATCTTTCGCATAGCCAAAAATTGTCCCTATTTAATATAGTTGTTACGTCACCGTAAACCGACGATATAAGATGTGGTTGGGATTGCACTATACAACATAACTCAGGCGTCAGAATAAGTTTTCCTTGGTGTAGTTGTGGATAGGTACCTTCCCCAATCTTTAATAATTTATCAGAAAATTGACGATCATCCGGGTTATCTCCAGTTCTCACTCGCATGTT